GCTATGGCGAATCGAATGAGCACATGTAGAGACATGTGCGACGTACTTTTTCCCATATGTAAGCGTTATTCCCACGGAAAAACCATAAAAAATCAATCAGTTTTTGATGTTGGGTGCCTCAGAAAAACCGCTGTAAAACCCTCAAAAACCATCGTAAAACCAATAAATCATAGTGCATTCGAAAGCAGATATATTGGGCTATACAACTATGTATAAATGTCCAAATCGATTTTTTTTGTCGAAAAATGCTTTTTTTGAGGGGCCCTTAAAATGAGAAAAAAACGTTAGTATCGTCAATCATACACGTGGCGTATCAATATATATAATATATAGAGATACGTTATAGGAAATATGTTTCTTCGTTTGAAGAAAAAATTGGAAAGGATAGACTGCTCCACGTGATATATACGTATCTCTTTATATATATATATATATATATATTGATACGCCACGTGTATGATTAACGATACTAACGTTTTTTTCTCATTTTAAACGAGACGAAAAACAGTGCCTGTTATATAAGGCACGTTATTTCTTAAAGACTATACTTTTATACTCGAACTTTTTGCAGTTTATATCTGCTTTTTGAACTTTTTTAAAGTAGAACTAAAGTGAGTCTGAGATGAATGATTGACCCTGATTGCATTATGTTCCCGAAGAGAAAACCGGGTAAAACATGATGAAATCAGCGTCTCAGCTATCTTAAGAAACATTCCTTTTAAGAGACGTTTTTGTATCAAAAGTTGTTGCTTTTCATTCTTTTTTGTGCTTAGTTAATCTGTGCAAGAGATGTGTCTCAAAACGAAACTTGTCCAAAAATCCGATACTGTAACTTTGTGACTAGCGAAAATGAGTCCTATTTAGATAAGGGAACAGAGAGCTGAATTTGCTGTGTACATCTTCCGAATTTACTACGTGCCTCTTTATTCATACTGATTTTTTCAAAAAATACAATCTTTTGCGTTCGGGACTCCCGCGGGACTTCTTGTGGAGTCCTGCAAGACTCTCTATGGATTTTTTGAAAAAAAACACTCCCACGGGAGTCCCGTGGAACTCCATCGGGACTCCCGCGGGACTTTTACACAAAACGAGACTCCCGCGGGACTTCTGCCGGGAGTCTCGATTAGGGATATGATCGCAAGTTTTTCAGATCAAAAACGACCAAGAAATAGCAAAAACCCAACAAAAATTTCCAAGAGTGTCTCTAATTATCCCCAAGTACTCTATGTGTCACGAAACATTCAAAAATCACTCTAAAATTGATCTAGCGTACAGTTCTAAAAAGCGATCTAAAAACGGGCCGTTAACGGCCTATTTACGGTCTAAAGCATCTCTAATCATGTATATGAAAAACGGCGTAAAAACTATCCGTTAACTGTCCTTTAATGGCCAGTTAATGGCGAACCTCTGTGTGAATAGTAAATAGTCTGGAAACGTTCAGCAAACGGTGACCGTCAAGTGACCGTTTTCTGATCATGGACGTTTTCAGACGATCTTTGGACCGTGAAACGGTCACACTAAAAACCGCAAGTTAACGACTTGTTTACTGGGCATTTTTTTGCCGTTTTCATAACGTTAACGCGCCGGTTTTTGTGTGACCGTTTACTGGAGGTTAACTGACCGTTAACGGGCCGTTTTTTGGACCAGGTAGAAGAAAACTATTAATTGAGTAAAACTTATAAACGCACGAATCAATAGCTTAGAACGAACTAGTAAAAATTAACCTTATTTATCCATACTTACACTTCTGGCGTTATTGGCGTTTTACTCTCCACCAAAAGCAGTGGAACTTTGCTTTTCCCATCTGCGTGAAACCCTCATGTGAAATTCACATCCGGTCTCATTCTACTCTAAAACTGACACGGATGATTTTAAATGCAAGAGCATTGCAAATACTATGTATGCAAAGAAAAAACCATTTAGCCCATATGTAGGAGTCTGAACATAAAGAATCCTGAAAATTCGAGTTTTCTGGAAAACTTATTAAAATCAAACTTTATCCAAAATCTTTTCTATCCATATCGTTGGGTGGAGCGCTCAAATCTGAACTAAATAATATGTCGCCGACATTTATAGAATCTACCATCCGAAATTAGCATTAAAAATACGAAAAGTGCCAGAAAATACCCGATTGGAAACTGAAAACTGGAATTTCACATACATACATTTTGCAAAGGCTCTAGTTCAATCATCCTACGGTGTGAAAGCTTGCAAAATATCTCATTTTGTTCAGAATTGAACGCTCTGACGAACCATGTGGTTAGAAAAGTTTTTGAATACAGTTTGATTTTAAAAGGTTCTCTAGAAAACTAGGATCTTCCAAGTTCCTTATTTCAAAACCCATACATGGTCCAAATGTTTTTTTCTTTGCATGTATAGTATTTGTAATGCTCTTTCATTTAAAACTATCCGAGTCAATTTTGGATTGTGAGAGTAAAACGCCAATAACGTTTTTCCCGCAACATCTACAGATCTGTGATTTTCATGAATAAATTCAGCGCAGCACGCTCTGGAAAATCCATTCTATCTCGCCGTTGGCACTAAAAGTCGATGTAATGGTGGTATGTTTCACACGGATTCACCCACAGACAAATTTCGAATTAGAGGTAATTTTAATACAAAGTCTCAAACGTAAAAATACGTTAGCTTGTGTTCACCGTTTATCAAATAATAAACCGTGGTTTTTTAGAAGAGTTAGAATAGATGAGTATTAAAACCATTAATTACACAAAATAACTTGCTGACATAAAACACAAACAACAGTTAAAGATTATTTAGCTGCATCAGAATACTTGAATGTGCGTGTGTGTTAGCTATACGCCGATTAATAATTAACGTTAGGGCATTCAGCGAAGTTGTTCCGAATCAGTTATAAAAAAACGTTCAGAGGTGCCGAATGTCTCATTTTGCAGAAAAACATTTGTTCGAGACATTCGGCACCTCTGAGCGATTTTTTACAACTGATTCGGAACAACTTCGCTGAATCCCTAACATCGCTTATTAATGACCTTGTTGTTGATAGGTAGAAAAGATGATGTTGCGTGCATGTAGAGTCCTGCGAGCAAAAGGTAACTTTTAAGTTTACAACCAAATAAACTAGTATCCGTTCCAAAGCACAACTCCCTCGCTTAATTTTTGAATAACGTTTGTTAGAAAAGAGATGAAGACATGAGGTTTCCAACATTTGATGGCTAACGCTTTAAGACTTATAGAAAATCAATTCCTCCGATCAGGATTTCACCTTCACGGCTTGTCGAAGCTTGACGCCGTGACAGTTTTGACATAGTAATTTGAGCTTTTCTCGAAAAGTTCAAGAGCTAGAAACTTCGTCCTTGCGCCATTCGACGCAGCTCGCCATACTCTACTTTTGGTATAAAAATTAAGATATGTGGTTAAAGACTTGAATTTTTAGAACCGTTTTTCGGGGTGTGACGCTGTGACAAGAAAAAGGCCCTAAATTCAAAGTTCTTCTCATTAAAGCTAATCTGCGGCGAATTTAGAAGAACTAATAAAAAGCGCCTCGAGCAAAGTTTGTAGAGCTACTGATTGCTGAAAAAATGTTTCCAGTGAGTTTTCCATCCTTCGATAGTTGTGCTTTATCGTCGTGACGCTGTGACACACGTTTTTCCCAACAAAGTTTGGAGCACTAAACATTGCTCAAAGGATTTCATTTTCACCTCCGACTTAGTTTAGGCAACTAATATAGACCTAACGTGAAAATAAAGCTGAAAAAATGTTTTCACTTTCTTAGAATTGTGTGAGAATCTTGAAACTTAAAACTTTATTAAAAAGCTTGCTTTGAGTCTAAACTTCAAAAGAAACATACCATCTTGTGGAGAGTCGAATTCTCTATCGATTAGTGTGACCTTCCATTTTTATTAGGAAAAATGTGGAAAAGGTGAGGAAACTGAAAATTCAGTTTTCAAAAAATGTAAAACTGGATTTTTGGTGCCAAAATTTAATTTTTTAAAAACGTAATGTAAGATTCGTAATCAGCATCAAAAACTGCATCTGGTGATATCCTTCTTTCAGTTCTACTCTAAAATAACTTTTTAAAAAACTTGATCAGCAAAGTGTCGAGTTATCCGGACAAGTCGTTCAGGTGGTGTATTACATGGATCTTTGAAAGGGTACGTGGACAAATAATGAAAAACAAGTATTTTTAAATGCAAGTAGGATGTTCGAATAGTCGAACCTTGATCTACAAATCCACGCAAGGTCGAATTTGTCACCATTTTCCGTTTCCGATAGGCTCGATTTTTCCCAGACATATAGGAATTCTACTTTCTTAAGTCTGAGAATCTGAAAGATACTTGATACATAGGTTATCGAGCCTGCTGATTATATATGAGTCTTCAAGAGTGCATACTTTCCATCTGTAGTCTCTTATCTGTTGTTCTTGCTAATGATTCAAGACGTTATTGTGTTGCCAAAACGATGAAAAGTATTTTGATCGAACATGCAAACATAAAGATGAATCGCAGAGAAGAAAAATGAAATATGATGAAAGAAAAATTCATCGACTTTGTTCATTTCCGTAAAAGTGAAAAGTGCGCACATACGTTGATGATGATGAGAGTGACAAGATAAGAATACCATCCTTTGTTGACTCTGTTACATTCACTCTCTAGAAAAAGCAGTGCATTTCTCTTCTCTTCAGGTATGTCAATAGAAAAATTCTAATAAAACACATTCTTCTTCTTACTTCATGTGCTCGCGAAGAATTTCTCTTCATAAAAGTATAAGTGCCACTGATTGTTACGAGTAAATATCAGTCTAAACAAGTAAAACTAGAGCTTTGAGGCAAGTATGTCCGCATCACAGCAGCAAACGTTGTTTCTTGATTAGATCGAAATGGGGGAAACAAAAGATGTTTCTGTCTTCACCATCAACATCTGCTTTGACATTCACGAAACTCTTTCTTCTAGTGTCAATGGTCTCAAGCAATCCACTACCCACAACATGGACAAACATAAATATTGAACAGAAGAATCCCAAACAAGGTCAAAATCTAGAAACATTCTCTCTCTTATGGCTCGATCAGAATGTGAATGAAAGCAAAGACAATCGAGAAACACAAACACAGTTGCGGAGATCGATCAACTGTTTATGGACGTTTGAAAGTGGAAATGAGTGTGAAGAACATATTGGACAGAGCAAGGATGAAAAGATTGTTCTAATCGTTTCTGGTCGATTAGGCAGAGAAATTGTCCCGAGAGTTCACGATTTACCCCAGTTAAGTGCCATTTATGTCTACTGTATGGACAAAAGAACGAATGAAATATGGGCAAAAGCTTATAAAAAGGTAAACGTGAACAGATGTGTGGTGCTATCATTAAAGTTTTCCTATTTTTCCTTCGAAAATCATCGAGAGCGTTTTGTGCTGGATACTTTTCCTACTTTTCGTTGTGTTCAACTTCTTAGACTAGTAGAACTAGGGAAGCAACGGTAACCGCACTTTACCGGTGACCCCACCCTTTAACTGGAGCCTAGACAGATTTTTCAAAATCTCTCGGTTGTTGAGGATAAAACAAACGTTCTGCATCCTAGGATCATGTTTTTCTATATAAAATATACATATTAAGAATCAGCGTGAAAAACTGCATCGAATGATGTATAACTCATCTGGTTTTGGTGGCTCGAATTTGAATTCTAAAAATTTTACAAGACAGAAAGACAAAAAGGCTTTTTTTAAGATTCACGCAAACAATTTCGTGTTGAAAGTTTGAATTTCAAGATCAAATAACCTGAACAGCTCAAAACATGTTTCTTATAGGTTTTCAACGATGCTCTTTCCAGTGGCATCGTTTTCGAATATTGAGAAAGTTTTCTGAAGGGTTTTCCACAGACCGGATCTCTGGAAAACACCTTAGAAAGCTTTCCAAAACCCAGCTCTCATGCCATTAGAAAGCGGATCGTCAAAAACCTATAAAACAATGGTTCAGGAAATTTCAGTTCACTCATAAAGCTAAAGTCCGCCTGTTCTAGTGCTCTGTGAGGGTCGCCTAGTGCAGTTCTTCTTCATCAGTGCCTCGTCAAGTTTTCAAAAATTCTTCCTCGTCGGGACCGCCCCGCGAAAATCCTAGTGCATGGGATCGCCCACCTCTGATACACAGCCAGCTGTTCCCATTCTTTGCTTTCGTTGTTTTGCAATCTAGAAATCTAATTAACGCATGCTCCTCGAAATATAGATAGGATAGAAGAGAAAATAAACAACCGCAAAAAGTAAGAGAAAAAGAACTGTTTAAAAAAGTCTTGTGCTCCATTTCACAAGACAAGAAATAAACACAATAAAGTTATAACTTTAGAATCACGCCCTACCCAAATGCAGAGAAGCAGAAATACAAATCCGTCAGCCAGGTAGCTGTCAGTCATCAGTAACGACTGGACCGGTAACGGTAACCTGTCAGAACCGGTAACAGTTAAACCGGTTCTCAACCGTTACCGTTGCAGTCCTAAGTAGAATCAAAAGTTAGACGATCGCCAAAGGAAGAAATAGCTCACTCAGTCACTTCGCGAAGTAAGTGGAATGTCTAGAACGCCACCGAGATGTCCCAAGTGTGATCGCAATAAATGAAATTTAATCTTCTATTTTGAGTACATGGTCTTTTATTCATCCCAAATGCGCAAAGAAGAGATAAATGTCTAGTAAATATTTGCGATTAAAGAGTTCTTTATAACCGTTTTATTAATTCAAATCATTCATTGTATTGAACACAGAGTAAAAATTTGAGTTTAAGAAAAGAACAAAAACATTCCTCAAAGTTTCAAACGTAAGTACAAGTGTAATGAATTATTCTTCGTAGACATGACATTTAAACATACCGTGCAGTAAAAAAAATGTGACTGAATGTTTCTACTTGTTCTTCCTTGTAGGACCGGGTTGCACTTATGTACTGTTCTTCCCCTGGATAAGAAAACGCGAATTTCTGTGTTCTATTATTCTCTCTGACCGGGTGTAGAAAGTAACCTTCGAAGATTTGAACTGCGGTTCACTTTTGAAAAAACTATCGTACAGTGAACAACTATTTTTAACCACAACCTAAGTAGAATGACTTCTTCCAAAATTTTTGTTAATACAAGTATTCGTCTTAATGATGTTATAACATACAATAACTATAAATTGTATAATATGATTAATGGTTTGGTTGGCGAAGATATCGCCGACTTGCTGAAGATTCAAGCTGTACACACTATTTCATCATTGTTAAACATAGATGATGTTTTTGATGTATTAAATAGTGATTGTCAAGAAATAGCTTATATAAGAAGTCGAATTACATTCAAGGGCCCCCCTCAGAAAAAACCCTTTTTTATCTTACATCCGATTTTGATGACGCATTCAGTGACTAATACGTACCGCCCTTCGAGTTTACGCTAAGGATTTGAAATAGAAACCTTGAAGCGCTGCCGAATTATTGCATGACAAGGGGCAAAATGGAGCGCTTAGCAAATGCGTTATAAATTTTTTGTTGGAAGGTGCAGAAAGCTGCAAGAGGTCTCAAATGAGAGTAGACACCTAAATCTAAAATTTGATGCTCGGCGACTTTTGAATTTCGCTTCTGTTCATTCGCTACACGTATTTTAAGTCAGACCTCTGAAAATAACGCTAATTCGATGGAGTATTTACCACGTATCTCTGCACAGAAAACAAAAATCAAAAATTGCCGCGGATTAAACTTTCGATCAATGTCTTAGCTTCAAAATAAAAAAAGAATGAAGGTGTTACGATGAATCGTTTAGGAGTTATTACAACTTTACTGCACCAAAATCGTATTCTAAGCAATGATGTTCTCTATAGCTTTGTAGATTCTTGCTGATAACAGTGCTTACAGCTTGCTTTATCACAAAGAATATCTGTAATGGATTCCCATCTCTAACAGCAATAAATATTTAATTAAAAATTCAAATGAAAATCTAATTAAAGATAAATTTCGTTTTTATGAATTAAAAGAATATTTAAATACAACTGATGTAAAAAAATATAGATTTATGTGAGAAGATTGCACGAGTGTAGTACGAAAGGCACAATACGACAAGACATCTAATGCGTTCGTTGGCATTATTACACCATTGCTTTCTGGTATACCATCTGTTACTTATTACCAAACAAATTCGTTTGATGAGTTAAAAAGTTGGTTCAGAAACGCTGAAAAGCATCATTATTACATTTACATGTATTTCAACCAATAACAAAAGATTTAAATAGTCGTTTAAAACGATTTAAATAATCTCGATTTATATTGTTAGCTGTTGTAAGTTATATCTCCGTCGATTGGTTAGATTGTGATGGAAAGTATCTGCATTCAATGAGACTAGTCAGTGTTCTTCCTGCTGATTAACCGAATGTTAGAAAATATCAAATAATCGAAGCATTTACAATCCATATAAGGCGCCGCTAATTCAAAAGTTCAGTACATTGCTTTTCTGGCTGAAACACACATCATCGGATAGACCTAGTGGTGCTGATCACGAATATGATCTTCTTTTTAATTTTGATAAAGTCTTAGAGTAGAAAATGGCAAAATACGAGGATGAGTGCAAAATCTCTAAAATTTTTGCGTTTTCAAAGAACAACGGTGTGTTTTCGAATTCCTAATAGAAAAGTGGATCTAGAAACGTTGTCTAGAGCCTTAGCAAGAAGTGCGAGAGGATTTTAGGGATTTTGCACTCATCCTCGTATTTTGCCATTTTCTGCCCTAAGACCTTATCAAAATTAAAAAAAGGTCATATTCGTGATCAGCAATACTAGATCTATCCGATGATGTGTGTTTCAGCCAGAAGAAACAATGAACTGAACTTTTGAATTAGCGGCGCCTTACCAAAATCTTGGTGGTGGTTTTATTTACGTACAGACCAACTCTTTATGCTCATGCAAGATCCAATATATCTTTATACTAAATTATGTAATCGATTGATATAGAAAACAAACAGAAATGAGAATAGATGGTCAAATAATCGAATGAAAATGTTTAGAACAAATAATTAATGATAATTCCACATTGTTTAGTTGAATCAGATTTGTATCCCAAGAAAAGACAAAATTTCAATCCTTGTATTAAAACTTCATCTCAAAATGTATTGGATTGATTAGAAAAAGATCCAGAAGCTTAATCAGCCATTGTTTATTTACAATTATTAAATTATCTAATCAAAGCCTATGTTGATAGTAATACAAATATTGTGGATCGATTGTATTATGCATGGACTGTTATATTTGTTTACAGAGTTTGGTGGTTTTGATTGAAATTTTATTTAATAAAAGAAAAGTTGCCAAAACGAAAATGTGTGAATATTTTATAACAAAAGCTGCTTAATATTCTATCGAATTAAATGGTCATTTGTTATTGTTTGTTATTTTATTAGTGATAGACCATAAACTACCAGATTACACACTTGTTTAGTTCACAAGGATATGAAACGACATTTCATAATTCAAGAGCAATGAGTGCTATGTGTTCAACAATGGTCAATTTTACAGTTAATGATTTTTTACATCATGCTGTTAAACTATCAGTTTTAAGTAAAATTAAATCTGATGATAACTTTATTCATTTTACTATTCATCATAAACATTCAAAACACACCATTTAATTTGCTAAATAGTAACAATTTTTCTAATTAAACGATAAATGATGTTGAAACAACAATACTTAATGTATTTAAAACAGCAAAAACATTTACTGATAAATTGAAAAGGAGCAGATTCCTAAAAAGAAATAGTGTGTGTGAATTAAAAGAACTATCATTAACAGCTGAACATGAAACAAGTAATGTTCATCATTATTCATCATTATATGATTCTGATTTTGAATCTCATTCTGTTGAAGATGAAAACAAAAAAATCGAACAGTTTAAATTCCGATGAGGATGATGGTGGAGAGAATGATAGTTTATTATCAACAACAAATAATATATTTTCTGGTATAAGAGCATTTGGTACAATTAAACGGGATCTTAAACAATCATATTTTAAAGCAAAAATAAATAACGATAAATAATATAATAATAAATGTAAGTTATATACTTATATACTAACATTGTTCGTTGAAAAAATGTTGATAAACGTGAATAATATTTGTATGACTAAGTCAACTATACTCATGATTTCCTCCTATCAAATATGTAGCTAATGATGACTCTAGTCTGAGTTGAAAGCTTCTATACTATTAAATAAAATAATGAATATAGTTGAGTTAGTCGTACAAATATTATTCACGTTAATAAATGTAGGCATAAGGCTACAGCCTATTAGCTATTTACAGACAAGAAAAACCATTTATCGGCTACATATTGTCAAGAATAATGCATGATGACTGAACAATTTTTCTTTTTTTTCGTGTATGTTGCTGAAGCGTTTCTCCATTCAGATAACTATGTAGACCTATTGTGACTAACTCTTTCTAGCTACTTTTATAGAAGAGTTATGAGCAGATAAGTGTTTTAAGCACATACGAGGAAAACCTTAGATTCCATGCTACAGTGCAGATTTCTGGTCAACGTAAATGAGTGCACCACGCGCCCTAAGGACCCTTCGGCCGACTCTGAGAGTGACTGGACTGTGACGGACTGAGCCGAATGTCGTGGAGTATCTGAATGTAGACTATGTTCTTTCCCATTCAGTTATGTCTCTACAATCTGATCACGGACGCGTCGAGTAACGAAGGCGTGATTAAATGACGGATGCGTCCGAAACTACATTCGTTCGAAGTCTGGAGATGGCACACTGTCGGTCCATCTTCTTATCACAGTTTTACAGCAAACAAACACAAAACAAGCCATGGAACTCCGTGTACTCTTCCGACTGCACATTCTACACGTTCACTTTCTGTCACTTTTCTAGATCAGAGCCGTGGTTGTTGAGCTAAACGAGCTGGTCGAGACAATATGCAAAGATCAGGCGAAACGAGAGAAAACAGAAGATTCGATCTCAATCAGCACCTACGATAGAACACACACAAATCTCAAATCAGACAACAGCTCATTCATGTGGTTTTAGCTGTTTATTGAAGTTCTACTCCGAATGAAACATTCTCCAACATCGAAAGATGAACTTGTTCATATCTGCAACGAACATTATCGAGGTAATAATGCAGAGCTTGACATTGTTCGTGACTTTCATCAAACATACAACTCATCTGATGCTGTACGATGGTACACTCGAGAGTGTTTTCTCTACAAGATGCTGAACAAAGCGCTTCGCGTTCAGAACCTTGACATTCTCTTCGCATATCGATTTCTCATCACCGATATTCACAATCAGCTCATAAAAGAATCGTCTAACACAAATATCAGTCGATTATATCGAGGTCAAATGATATCAAATGATGAACTTGATCGCATTCGTTCAAGTACTGGTGAATTTATCTCGATAAACTCCTTTCTATCCACAACTCGTATTGAGAAGAAGGCAACTGAATTTGCTCAAAGTGCTAAATGTGAAGATCTTGAATGTGTTCTCTTCAAAATTAAAGTCGACAATCAGATAAAAGCAAAACCCTTCGCCGACATCTCCCGATTGAGTTATTTCCTTGGTGAGGAAGAAATCCTTCTTATGCTCGGTTCGATCTTTCGACTTGAAAGTGTTCACTATGACAAAGAACAGCATATGTGGGTGGCTGATTTAGATTTATGCAACGAAGATGACCATGATCTGAAAGAAGTATTTGCCCACATGAAGAAAGAGATGGGGAGTGAAACTACTCTCATTTCACTTGGAGATTTGTTCCGTGAGATGGGTGAATTGGACAAGGCCGAAAAGTATTATAAACGATTGTTAAGTGAACTGACAGTGGATGATTCTAGTATTGCCAACTGTTACAGAGGACTGGGTATTGTACACCAGAACAAAGGTGAATATGATTTAGCTTTGATGAATTATGAAAAAGCATTGAAAATCAGACTAAAAGCACTTCCACCCGATCACCCTGATATCGCCTTAACATACCGTAATATAGGACTTCTGCATGAAGCAACTCGTACTTGGCAATCAGCCTTAGAGTATCACAGCAAAGCAGCAGAAATAAGACGCAAGTCACTTCCAACAACGCATCCACAGCTAGTAATCACTGAGAACGACATTCGAAGAGTGAAAGCTCAGTTAAAGTAGACATTTGGAATGGTTGCTTCTTATTGTCGACTGTCGGTTGTTGTTCTAGTTTGCAGGAAATAACCACAGCAAGCACTCTGATGCTCGCTCAGTTATTCAATTTGTCGATTATTTCGAGAAATACTGATTTCTTGTTTTCGACTGTCACTTTTGAACATTGATCATTGATTAGCGCTTAGAATTGTTCATCGGTGATCACGACAGCTGCGGTCTGAGATCGTTGTCTTCTGACCAAAACATACATGTGATAGTTTTCAAACTTTTGCCATGCATTATGTAGCTATTAATACATTATTGCTCTCAACCTACTGATTTGCCGCAAAAGAAATGCGACATTTAGAAAACGAGAATGTATCGGCTGAAGCCATGCACATTGTTTCCCATGAGGATCTCTTGAACTTTATATGTTTTCTGTATTTAAACTTCGCCTTCTTTTTCTCCTTTCTCGTTTAACTGATGATAGTTTGCCCGTTCATGACGTGCATAAGTGAAAGAAAGTGACACTTGTTTCTAGGTGAATACGGTGTTCACCAAGTTCAGTAAAATGATCATCAGGCGAAAAGAATTTCAATGATCCATACTTAACCCATTCGTTTTAATCCAATTCATACTAACTGGCGATTTATCATCATCCATTTATATGCTCTCTTTTCAACAGATTTTTACTACTACATTTCAGAGTATTCTTATTTCTCATACCTGTTGTGAGGGCTTGCTCCATAACTCCACTGTGGTATTCACATTTTTTCTTAGGCTCTAGTTGGTTTTTATGCCATTATGGTTTTATGAATGGTTTTATGCCATTATCTTGTCCTAGTAGATAGCTCCATCAAAAGAACAGTCAGATTTATATTTTTGAGTTTGAAGTTAAATTTTCATTCTTTTCAAAGTCGATATTTGTCATCAGCGCGGAAACTACGTCTAACGATGTACTTTTAAGGGTTATCTCAGAGGAAAAGTCTTCTTCATCGTCGACACTTTTTACTCCTATGGACTTCGCTGGTTTCTCTAGCTTCTCACAGGGTCTTGGAGTTTTTCTGCATTCGTGTATATCTAGAAGTCCCCAAATCTGCTATTCCACCCTTGGGTTACCCACAGGAGTTTTGTCTGAACTTTTGGTCAAAACGCCCGAGGTTGATTGATTGAGGTTGATGATTATATAAAGACCTGAAAAATCCTCAGCGATATTCCGAATAACTAGAAATTCTTCACGGATTTTTCAGATAATCAGAAATTAATTCCATTTTTCGAACTTCTAAAAATCCATATATAAAATCAACGAGGAATTTCCAG